TGAGCGTCGATATCTCTGACTTCATTCAGTGGAGAGATGCTCTCGTAGGCGTAGTTGGCCATGGGGATCAACATGAAGTATGAATTACTAAGGTCTGCAATCTGGAACGCAATGAAATGGTTATGAAAACAAGAGTTGAAGGAGAAAAAGTTGGTAATATGTAGTTATAATAGCTAAGGCTCAGGTCAAACGTCGAACTACACATGAGCCGAACCTAATTGAAACAATGGATAACATGGCGGTCTTATTTGATGTCATTAGGTTCGGCTCAAGTGAAATTCGACGTTTGACCTTAGTCTAAGATTTACTATCCTGGGCCCGGTTGTACGAAGGGATAATAGCGCTATCCGGCGGAAAAATCCTTATCCAGTGGATAAGTCGATGCTGTAATCCATTAGATTTATCCGTCGGATAGCGCTATTCACCCTTCGTACAACCGGGCCCTGTAGAATACAAAAATGGCTACTGAATGAAAGGAAAATATTTAGGGGTACACGTAGCTTGGAATAATTAAATTTTCATCACGTGAGAAAAACAGAGTACGTGGGGTGGGGGGTGGGGGATAGAGATGGAAGGAGAGAGGGATCTAGAGAGGAAGGAAGAGAGGAAGAGAGGAAGAGAGGGAGGAAATAGGACAAACATCTATCACTATGAAGTAACAACTATAGCATCCAGAGACCTGAAGGAAAGAGTTGCGTGTTTTTACCTGTTCAAATTTATGCTCCTCGGCTTTCAGKTTTTCCATATCGATTCCACTTACTATTTTCCTGAGAAGAAAAAGAAAATGTATTTGAAGTGTAAAAATAAAGATACTCCAAGAAACTATTTGAATACTATGTGCTACTATACTAAAACATTTCCGCGGTGCGCTAGATCAAGAATCTATTAGAGCAGTGAGTTTTCGTATGACTGTGAAAAGCTCACGGCACGAACACGGTCGTGACACGGCAAGGGATACGCCAGGACAATCACATTGCATGAAAATTTACTATACATCCAATCAAATGCCCGAAACACGGCATAAACAAGGCGTGGACTTGGTAACGTCAAGGACACGGCACTGCCAGACCAGTCATTGCGCGAGAAAAACATCCGCCAGTCAAAATTCTAGAAAACATCACGGTCACGACAAGACACGCATAAGGCACCGAATTTTTCACAGTCATACGACACCGTCGTGGCCTAGGCGAACCGGCACGGTGCATCTGTACCGTCCAATCACAAACAGGGTCAGAAGAAATCTGCTCGCGAGACAACCCAAGCAATTACTTACTTGATGCTGAGTAAAATTTCACGAGCCTTGTTAATGGTGTCAGTCGACAAGCGTCCAAACGGCATGTAGTTAATGTCGATTAAGAGATCTCTCAGCTTCAAATTTCTAAGGAACTTATTCAGGAACTCGACATCAGTCTGGAAAAAGAACCAAACCAATCAAACACTGACCACCATGTGCTGTCAGACTATTCTCATTGATTGATTCATTTAGGACCATACTTCCAGACATCGAGTGCTGAACCGTCGTATGGCAGCGCGAAGCATTTACGGCTACGCCGGAGATTTCGGCCCCGACACCGCTAYCCCTGGATTTACAGACTGATCAGGAAGCTCGGCCGAAGCCTAAGGGAGAGGTTAGTCGGCCCSTAGACCGTAGATGATTAACCCCTTGCTATGACCAGCATACCYYGTRCGACGCTTGTCTCRCTGATGACCTACCTCCCATGGTCMCTCGTTYTCATGTGGGATGCGTTTTGAATAATTAGTCGCATAGAATTATCATGCAAACTTGTGGCAAATAATAAAAAATCGAGGTCTTATTTTC